CACAGCCAAACACAGCACAACAACCACCAACACACTAACTACACGCGTGCACCAGTCAAGCAGATATGAACACTAAAAACACAACAACCAGACACACAACACTCACAAATACACAGGTCACACACACACACCAACAAACAGACACAGCACTCACAAATACACAGGTCACACACACACCAACAACCAGACACACAACACTCACAAATACACAGGTCACACACACACCAACAACCAGACACAGCACTCACAAATACACAGGTCACACACACACCAACAACCAGACACACAACACTCACAAATACACAGGTCACACACACACACCAACAACCAGACACACAACACTCACAAATACACAGGTCACACACACACACACCAACAAACAGACACAGCACTCACAAATACACAGGTCACACACACACCAACAACCAGACACAACACTCACAAATACACAGGTCACACACACACCAACAACCAGACACACAACACTCACAAATACACAGGTCACACACACACCAACAACCAGACACACAACACTCACAAATACACAGGTCACACACACACACACCAACAACCAGACACACAACACTCACAAATACACAGATCACACACACACCAACAACCAGACACACAACACTCACAAATGCACAGGTCTCACACACACCAACAACCAGACACACAACACTCACAAATACACAAGTCACACACACCAACAACCAGACACACAACACTCACAAATACACAGGTCACACACACACCAACAACCAGACACACAACACTCACAAATACACAGGTCTCACACACACACCAACAACCAGACAACACTCACAAATACACAGGTCACACACACACCAACAACCAGACACACAACACTCACAAATACACAGGTCACACACACACACCAACAACCAGACACACAACACTCACAAATACACAGGTCACACACACATCAACAACCAGACACACAACACTCACAAATACACAGGTCACACACACACACACCAACAACCAGACACACAACACTCACAAATACACAGGTCACATACACACACACCAACAACCAGACACACAACACTCACAAATACACAGGTTACACAAACACACTAACAACCAGACACACAACACTCACAAATACACAGGTCACACACACACCAACAACCAGACACCCTCTCTGGCATACAACAATCACCAGCCACATACACACGCACACACAATGTAACCAAACACAACAACATAACCACACACACACACACACAACCCTGACACACGACAACAAGACACACAACGCTCACACAACAACAACACAAACAACCTTAGCGAGCGACATACAAATACACCCAACAACGCATTGACAGGCATCGCACGATATACATAACACAACCCCTGTCAACAACCAAAAAGACAACAATTGTCACTCCCTCAAACACAAGAAACTAAATAGCACAACAAGACACAAAGACAAAGACCTCCCGTGTAGCCTTAACAGACTTGGGACAAGTGCTGTTAGCGAGCACCTATGAAGGCCGGCACGGCACACGAGGCGGTGGGTGGCCAGCACCACGCCCGGCCGCCTTTGTCTCCCCAGTGGCGATGTTTACACAACGCACCAGGTACTCATTTGAGGCTGAGTCGACCTAGGGGAGTCCCAGGACCGGTTTAAGTTATTCGTCACTTTTTGTGGCCGTGAGCGGGTGCACTAACCACGTAAACCTCCCGGACACGAGAAAGTAAATAACACAACAAGATACACAAACAACCTCGCGCGCACACATATAACCACACTTATACAGCCATCACACACAACAACAACAACCACCACATACACAAAACTCACACACAACCGCGTAAGCAAGCACGCACAACTCAACACAAGAGAAACAACCCTTGTACACAACACACACGACAGAAACCAACCATCACAAAGACCAAGGACACATAAACCAGCATCTTGCCCGTGGAACAAAAACACAATCAGACCCACGATCGAACAACAACAACAAAACGACAAATGTGAGACCGTCCAGACTGGGAATGGTCTGATTGAAGTGGAACACACAGAGACACCTCTACCCCTACAGCCCCACCCCCAGAGAACGACCACGACATCATCACCGGACACCCCGAGCACGACGAGAATAACCCCACACCCCCCCTTGCCCTGACATCCCAACATCGACACTCTTACCCCTCCTACACCAGCAACCCACATACCCCGACAGCCTTACCCACACCACGACACCCATAGCCCGACAGCCTTACTCTACCACGTCCACCATACTCCGACAGGCTTACCACTACACCCCTACCACTACACCGCTACCCCCCATACCCTTACCACTACACCCCTACCACTACACCCCTACCCCCCATACCCTTACCACTACACCACTACCACGACACCCTTACCCCGACACCCCAACCCTGCACACAGACTGTGACTCGCACCGAATCCCGCACCTGTCCCACACCCTCACCACACCCTCACTAAATACACTTACCACTCACTACACACTCACTATATACTCACCACTCACTATACCATCACCACACACTATACACTCACTACACATTCATTATAATATACAGTGAGGGATAAAAGTGTTTTATCCCCTGCTGATTTTGTACGTTTGCCCACTGACAAAGAAATGATAAGTCTATAATTTTAATGGTAGGTTTATTTGAACAGTGAGAGACAGAATAACAACAAAAAAATCCAGAAAAACGCATGTCAAAAATGTTATAAATTTATTGGCATTTTAATGAGGGAAATAAGTATTTGACCCCCTCTCAATCAGACAGATTTCTGGCTCCCAGGTGTCTTTTATACAGGTAACGAGCTGAGATTAGGAGCACACTCTTAAAGGGAGTGCTCCTAATCTCAGCTTGTTACATGTATAAAAGGCACCTGTCCACAGAAGCAATCAATCAATCAGATTCCAAACTCTCCACCATGGCCAAGACCAAAGAGCTCTCCAAGGATGTCAGGGACAAGATTGTAGACCTACACAAGGCTGGAATGGGCTACAAGACAATTGCCAAGAAGCTTGGTGAGAAGGTGACAACACCTTCTTTGGTTCTTTCGGTAAAGTCACGTAGAATGAGAATAAAATAAGACAATAAAATTCTCACGACGTTTCGGCCACAACACAAGTAGCCTTCTTCAGGTGAAAGAACAGAACTGTCGTCCCGACAGTTCTGTTCTTTCACCTGATAATTTTATTGTCTTATTTTATTTTATTATTTTATTCTCATTCTACGTGACTTTACCGAAAGAACCAAAGAAGATGAATCCTTGCAGTCACGAAAGCTTTAAATCGAAATTTAAGGTGACAACAGTTGGTGCGATTATTCGCAAATGGAAGAAACACAAAAGAACTGTCAATCTCCCTCGGCCTAGGGCTCCATGCAAGATCTCACCTCGTGGAGTTGCAATGATCATGAGAACGGTGAGGAATCAGCCCAGAACTACACGGGAGGACCATTGGTAACACACTACGCCGTGAAGGACTGAAATCCTGCAGCGCCCGCAATGTCCCCCTGCTCAAGAAAGCACATATACATGCCCGTCTGAAGTTTGCCAATGAACATCTGAATGATTCAGAGGACAACTGGGTGAAAGTTTTGTGGTCAGATGAGACCAAAATCGAGCTCTTTGGCATCAACTTAACTCGCCGTGTTTGGAGGAGGAGGAATGCTGCCTATGACCCCAAGAACACCATCCCCACCGTCAAACATGGAGGTGGAAACATTTTGCTTTGGGGGTGTTTTTCTGCTAAGGGGACAGGACAACTTCACCGCATCAAAGGGACGATGGATGGGGCCATGTTCCGTCAAATCTTGGGTGAGAACCTCCTTCCCTCAGCCAGGGCATTGGAAATGGGTCGTGGATGGGTTTTCCAGCATGACAATGACCCAAAACACACGGCCAAGGCAACAAAGGAGTGGCTCAAGAAGAAGCACATTAAGGTCCTGGAGTTGCCTAGCCAGTCTCCAGACCTTAATCCCATAGAAAATCTATGGAGAGAGCTGAAGGTTCGAGTTTCCAAACGTCAGCCTCGAAACCTTAATGACTTGGAGAAGATCTGCAAAGAGGAGTGGGACAAAATCCCTCCTGAGATGTGTGAAAACCTGGTGGCCAACTACAAGAAACGTCTGACCTCTGTGATTGTCAACAAGGGTTTTGCCACCAAGTACTAAGTCATGTTTTGCAGAGGGGTCAAATACTTATTTCCCTCATTAAAATGCAAATCAATTTATAACATTTTTGACATGCGTTTTTTCTGGATTTTGTTGTTATTCTGTCTCTCACTGTTCAAATAAACCTACCATTACAATTATAGACTGATTATTTCTTTGTCAGTGGGCAAACGTACAAAATCAGCAGGGGATCAAATACTTTTTTTCCCTCACTGTACATCCTCACCACACACACGCTCACCACACATTCTACCATACATCCTACACTCACCAACTATTGGTAACACCTGACACTCACCACAATCTCACCTCCCCCCCATACACCCCATTATCACGCACCCTCACTACCCCTTACCTCACCATACACGCTTACCTCACCATAGACCCTCACCACTTATCACACACTCACCATACACACTACACCACACCCAGAGGCACTCACCACTCACCTAACCGTCCACGCACCCTAACCACACTCCCTCACCACGCACCCTAACTACACTCCCTCATCATGCACCCTCACCACACACACTTTCCCTGGCCCCACACACACACACACATCCTGCCACTCACCTGCCACTCACCTCACCACCTTCAATCCTCACCCCTCTCGCCGTCACCACAAATTCCTCACGTCACACATTCACTCCTCACCTTTACCACTCACCTGCCACCCTTAACTCCCAAAACCTGATCCCTCACACCCTCACCGCGCACACACTCACACCCGACAGCGCACACACTCACCCCTCACACTAACCCCTCGTACTCACCACTCACCCCACACACTCACCCCTCACACTCACCACTCACATTCACTCCTCACCTCACGCCGCTCGCATCTTCCGCGTCTCCCGTGGCTGTCGAGCTCAGTCCATGGCGCCACGATGACCGAGACACCCTGCCTCTCTCCCTCCCTCTCTCCTCGTCTCTCTCTCGCTCGCTCGCTCTCCCTCCTCCCCTCAAACCATTCTCCTCCCCCCTCTCTCTCTCTCCCTCCCTCCATCACCCTCCCTCTCTCCCTATCACCCTCCCTCTCCATCACCCTCCCTCTCTCATCACCCTCCCCCCTCTCTCTCTCTCCCTCCCTCCATCACCCTCCCTCCCTATCACCCTCCCTCCCTATCACCCTCCCTATCACCCTCCCTCTCCATCACCCTCCCTCTCCATCACCCTCCCTCTCCATCACCCTCCCTCTCTCCATCACCCTACCTCCCTCCATCACCCTACCTCTCTCCATCACCCTCCCTCTCCATCACCCTCCTTCCCTCTCTCCATCACCCTCCCTCTCTCCATCACCCTACCTCCCTCCATCACCCTCCCTCTCCATCACCCTCCCTCCCTCTCTCCATCACCCTCCCTCCCTCTCTCCATCACCCTCCCTCTCTCCATCACCCTCCCTCCCTCCATCACCCTCCCTCTCTCCATCACCCTCCCTCTCTCCATCACCTCCCTCTCTCCATCACCCTCCCTCCCTCCATCACCCTCCCTCTCTCCATCACCCTCCCTCTCTCCATCACCCTCCCTCCCTCCATCACCCTCCCTCTCTCCATCACCCTCCCTCTCTCCATCACCCTCCCTCCATCACCCTCTCTCCATCACCCTCCCTCTCTCCATCACCCTCCCTCTCTCCATCACCCTCCCTCCATCACCCTCTCTCCATCACCCTCCCTCTCCATCACCCTCCCTCCCTCCATCACCCTCCCTCCCTCCATCACCCTCCCTCTCCATCACCCTCCCTCCCTCCATCACCCTCCCTCTCCATCACCCTCCCTCTCCATCACCTTACCTCTCTCCATCACCCTCTCTCTCTCCATCACCCTCCCTCTCTCCATCACCCTCCCTCTCCCCATCACCCTCTCTCCGTCCATCACCCTCCCTCTCTCCATCACCCTCCCTCTCTCCATCACCCTCCCTCTCTCCATCACCCTCCCTCCATCACCCTCCCTCTCTCCATCACCCTCCCTCTCCATCACCCTCCCTCTCTCCATCACCCTCCCTCCCTCCATCACCCTCCCTCTCTCCATCACCCTCCCTCCCTCCATCACCCTCCCTCTCTCCATCACCCTCCCTCTCTCCATCACCCTCCCTCTCCCCATCACCCTCTCTCCGTCCATCACCCTTCCTCTCTCCATCACCCTACCTCTCTCCATCACCCTCCCTCCCTCTCTCCATCACCCTCCCTCTCCATCACCCTACCTCTCCATCACCCTCCCTCTCTCCATCACCCTCCCTCTCCATCACCCTCCCTCTCTCCCTCCACCTCACTCCACCCTATCAATCCGCTCCCTCTCTCCTCACTCCCCCTCCCCTGTCTGCCCCCCCCCCCCTCTCTCCCCTCCCCACACTCCCCCTCTATGTTTCTCATCATCTCTCTTTTTTAACGATCAGAGGAACCAAGAAGATGCTCGGTGTAGTCGGCACTTTGCTTCGTTCATCATTTCGGTTTTTTTTAATGCTTTGCTTTATGTAAACCGCCCCCCCCCCCTCCTTTTTAAATGAAAGATTTCACAAAAGATTTCACGCTCTGCTCTCCTCCTTCTTACCCCTTCCCTCTCTCTCTCTCTCTACCCCTCTCTCTCTACCCCTCTCTCCCTACTCCATGTCTAAGTTCCCCCTGTGTTTTCTATGTAATAGTTGTAATATAAAAAAATATCTCTCTCCTGTATCTCCCCATCTCCTCACTACTGTCATCTCCTCTGTCCCTCTCTAACCTCCATCTCTCTTTGCTCTCCCCTTATCCCCCCCCCACCGCCCTTATCTCTCCCCTGCCCCCCCCCCTTATCTCTCTCCTCTGCCCTCCCCCCTATCCCTCTCTCCTCTCCCTCGCCTCTCCCCTCGCTATCCCCCTCGCCTCGTGTTGCGCAAGACCTCGTGGAGGGTTGGGGGGGGGGGTGTGGCCCGCGTGACGTCAGCCCCGCCCCCCACGTGCACACAAACACACGCATTTACACAGACACACACGCGTGTATACAGACACACACGCGTGTATACAGACACACACGCGCGTGTGTGTACAGACACACACACACGCGTGTATACACACACACGTGTGTGTGTATACACGCGTGTATACAGACACACACGTGTGTGCGTGTATACACACACACGTGTGTGTACAGACACACACGCGTGTATACAGACACACACACGCTTGTAAGGACACACGCACGTGTGTACAGACGCACACACACACGCTTGTAAGGACACACGCACGTGTGTACAGACGCGCGTGTACAAACGCACACACACGTGTACACACACGTGTACACACACGTGTACACACACGTGTACACACACGTGTACACACACGTGTACACACACGTGTACACACACGTGTACACACACAACCACGTGTACACACACACGCGCGTGTACACACACGCGCGGGTACAGACGCGCACACACACGTGTACACACACACGCGCGCGTGTACACACACGCGTGTACACACACACACGTGTACACACATGCACGTGTACAGACGCACACGCGTGTACACACACACGCGTGTACACACACGCGCGCGCGGGTACAGACGCGCACACACCCGTGTACAGATGTATACACGCGTATATAGAGGCGCAGAGCACACATACACGTGTGCGTTGTATGTGTTAGCTAAGTCGGCTGTAAATGAGTACCTGGTGTACACGTGTGTGTATATGTGTCTGCGTTATCGGTAGGGTAGTGGTTAGTCCACTCGGCGACCTGCTTGTATGTTTTGAGTTCGCGTGTCTATCTCTCTCGAATACCCTAAACCGGTCCTGGGCCTACCCTAGGTCGACTCAATCTCACATGGCTACCTAGTGCGGTGTGTAGTAAACATGATCACCGGGGAGACAAAGGCGGCCGGGAACGGTGTTTGTGACCCCCCTGCCGGGCCTTGATAGGTGCTCGCTAAAAGCACTTGCCCTGACAGTGTTGTTACAAGCCATTCGGAGGATATCTGTATTGTTACACGTGTGTACACACACGCACATGCACGCGCCCATACAAACGTGTCCCCTTTGTACACGTGGAGATCACACTCGTGGCAACCACTACCAGGGCATCGTCCGCAGTGTGTGTCGGGAAAGGTCCTGGCAAGGATAATTATTCAACATCGGCCTTGCCCAGGCAAAGGTGTATGGAATTTCAAATGGACCTAAATGCGCCTCTGCTTTATTGACCTGGTCAAGAAAGCCTATGGCACTATCCATAGGCCAGGGCTCTGGAGTCTGTTCTTCGTGCGTGTGGAAATCCCAGAACCCCTCTGCTCACAATCATTCACGATGGTAGGTAGGCAGGCCCGGGAGAAAAGCTGCGTTGGCTGGAGTCTGAGACATTTTCTGTTCATCTTGGGGTGCGACAGGGAAGTCATTCGGTCTCGACACTATTTATTATCTTCTTTGACCACGTAGTTCGAGCTTCCGACGGATGTTCCGGTGTAATTTCCATCTGATAAAGAGATACAATGAGAGGCTGATCGATGCACGTCTGCGGTCAAAGGATTTCTCCCGATCGGTCAACCATGTTATTACGTATTCTGATGATCTCGGAATTACTGCCCACTTATAAGGAGTTGTGAGACGCTACTGCTGAACAAGGTACTCGCCTGGGTATTATTATGCAATCAAAAACCCTTTCAACTCCCCTACGAATGGCGGGGCAGTTTCAGGGAAAGAGTGGAGGCGATGTTTCCACCCGTGCGCAATGTGCCAATGGCAGTTGGAGGTCTCCGTCCCAATCGGTCGAGTGGCATTCTATTTTCATCAGCAGCTTGACGCTGCGTGGAAGCTCTCTACCCTGTCTCTTCATACGAATCTCCGGATCTTTTCTAGGGCCACCCCTCTCGCTTTGCTGGCAAAACACGGAATCCTGTTTTCAGGGTCCTCTGCGCCCCGGGTTTGTAACATTCAGGCTGGCCTGCCTACGATCCATCCTGAGTTTAACCGCACCGGATTGTACGAGTTCACAGATCATTCAAAGATCGGGACACGGGCCCATCAGTGAGCTGCTCTAACATGCAAAGGCTGCGTATTGCTCGGTCATATGGTGCCCGCATGCCCAGAAACCACATTCCCAAGCCGCCTCTATTTGGCCGGATAGAGGCGGCTAAATTGGCACAGCACCCATACTCGTTGGTTCCTTCGGTAAAGTCACGTAGGTGAAAAAATAAAATAAAAATAACAATTAAAAATTTTTTTATTTTATTTTTTCACCTACGTGACTTTACCGAAAGAACCAAAGAGTATGTATCCTTGCAGTAACGGAAACTTCAAATCTAGAATGAAGGGCACAGCACCGGCTAGAGAGGAGATGGAGCTGAGGCTGTACGGGAGGATATGGAGATGATTGAAATATCCGATGACCGGTACCAGCGGTGTCAAGATCGGCCTCTGCGGAGGAGGCTCGTGAAGGACGCTGCTGCTACTGAGCAGTTGAAGGCAGTCGCCCTTCATTTAACAACAACGGAGGACGGAAGAGCGACGCTCACAACAACGAGCGGAGCGCCGGGTGAATAAAACGCTGAAAAGTTGGCACGGTGGGGAGCGCAGCTGGTGCATCTGCCAGTCATCTCAGTCAACCCATGGCACCCGGGTCTGTCCCGTGACATCCTGGCAGCGACCCTCCAACACTTCACGTGACCGCAAAGTGCACCCAGCCTGACACAGGCGCCGTGGTGACGTCACCGCCACTTAGAGGCGAACGAGAGTTGTTGTACACTTATGGATGTATTCGTGGAGCAGTTATCGCGCTGCGCTATGAACCTGGTTACCCGGGTTCGATTCCCAATCACGGCCAATACCAGTGACGATTATCTGAACCGGTCCTGGGCCTCCCCTAGATCGATTCAGCCTCAAATGAGTACCTGGTGCGGTGTGTAAACATCGCCACTAGGGAGACAAAGGCGGCCGGGCGTGATGCTGGCCACCCACCCCCTCGTGTATCGTTCCGGCCTTCATAGGTGCTCGATAAC